ACTTGATTCCCAGGTCCCCACGCGCCTTGTGCATCAAGTAGGTCTTGTCAAGGCCTGAGCGTCCGAAGGAAGTCAAGACACCGAACAACAATTTTGCTTGCTTAGGGATTGTATTGGGAAGCGACAAGAAACGGCAGCCCTTTCGACGACACCCAGGCGAACCGTAGATGGGGCGTCCCGTATCTTCCCCTTTAAGCATCGCCGAGAAGAGGAAATATGAGACTACCACCTTCTTTTCGTCCGTTGCTCCTGCCAAATATCTAATCACGGTGCCTTGAATACTCTTAGACCTACGCACCACACGTGCGACATTGTGGGGCTACGACATGTGTTACCCCTTGATCTGCCAAAAGTCACGATCCCTGGCGATTTGGAGGCCTTGAAAGCCCAAAAGGACAGGCAACGCCGCGTTTTTTTTGTGGAATCCAGGCAGACATCAGCTTCCATCAAAATGTTCGATTGCCGACATGGGAAAAGAGAGCCAGTGCTTCCAGTTCCCACTGTAGGAAACCAGGGTTTCTTTCCTCTAGGTTGCTGATGGTTTCCTTGGTTCCTACTGTTCTAGCTGGAAGCACTGGGGGAGAATAGACATTTCGAATGAACCTCAAGTGGGTCCTAACAGTTTCAAGTGCCCTGACTCTTGCAATGTCAGCAAACAATCAATCAGACTGCTCAACGGCAGTCCCCAAACGAAAAAAGATGCGCAAGCAACAACACCAAGTCCAGCCGTACCTCACCCGTTTCCATCCTTTAGACAAAACCGGGTCCGATTTTGGAACTTCCTCCAAGAAAAGGCTGGACAAAAATATCAAATCAGCTACTTGGCCCCAGAAAGTCGGATTCAAGATTAGGAAATTGCCCCAATGGCTTGGTCATTTCGTTTCACTCTGGAATCTTTACGAGGGACTGGAATGAAAACCAGCCTGGCGGTTTCAAGCTAATTCAATCGGATTCCCAAAACGACCAGTGATTCCCGCCCAACCAAAAATCGGTCAAGAGCTGCGTTTCTTTTGGATGCCCCGTGGAAACAGAAGGAACCGTCGAGGGTTGGACATGTATCGGAAAACGTCACCGATTTTGCAACCTTGGGGGGACCCACCAACTTGGCCCAAGTGATGTTTTAAAGGGACTGGAATGGAGCTGGACACCAGTGAAAACAAGGAAGAAACAAGAATTGGCACCCTTTCTGCTTGTGGAGAAACACGCCCAAATGCTCCGGGTTTCGCCTTATGGTTTTGCACCACCGCTTGGCGCCTGGGAATGTCTGAGTTTCTCAGCTCCCAGCGCAGCACTGTGGAGGCTGGCAGGTTGCCCTCGTAGCCTCGGGCGAAACCAAAACCCTCCATGCGAAAAGGGGGGGTGCCCGAATGGGTGGTTCCTGTCAACGGGGGGGTGCCCGTAGAGGTGGTTTCGGGACCCTAGAGCAAAGGTGCGACCTAAGGTGGCTTGCCCAAGGTGGTCTCCCGAAAAGAAAAGCAAAAAAACAAATCGCGGTCGCAAAACCACTTCCAAGGACGTGCTTCTCAATTGCCACCCTTGGCTCGAGTAGAACAAATCAGCGGCTTTTGGGACCTAAGCCGGGAAGGGATGCCAGAGGTTTCTGTAAGGAAGCCACCAGCCGGGTGGGTCACTTTGCCAGGACCCAAGAAGCGCATGCCTTGCCTGGAACCCACTGGAACTGACGAGTGAAAAACACTTGGCTTTGTGCTTGTCTTTTTTATTTGGGGGGAGGCAGCGCTGATCCAAAAGCTTTTCAAGCGGCGCCTTTCCTTTTTGTTCAAGAACCCACTGGCTGAAATCCGTAAATAGGGTACTGGCTGGTGTTCTCCGATACTATCCACAGGGAGGGGGTCGATGACTAGGTCAAAGGGGGCCAGGTGTCTACGTTCTGCCTGGTTCAAAACCCGGCTTAACAAAACTGCAACCTTCTGACCTTGTCTTGACCAGCCAGCAGTCCAGCAGTGCCCGCCCCAGGAGCCAGGAGTTGGCCCAACCCCACGGCCCAGCGCATCACATTTTCCGGTTCCATGCTGATTTATCTCCATTTCGTCCATGACCCAACACATGGGACGAGCTCGAAATCTCCTGAAACAGGGGCGGAAGCCCGAATTTTGCGTGTCCTCTGGGGGTAAATTTTCATTGGGGACCTTATGGTGGACACCATCTAGGTGGGATTTATGCCACCAGCTACTCTTGAGGGGGTTCCCTATTGAAATTCATATCCGCATTGGTAAGTTTGACCGTTGCTCGCCGTATTCCACCGATGCCACCCCTGACCCTTTCCTGACCCTTGCACGGCCCTTTGGCGGAGTCAAACATCACCTTTCCGTGGGGCTGTCTAAAGCATTACTTTTGCTAATTGAAGGTTGACTGAATACGGGCCAGGATCTGAACCATGAGTCCTTATGCATCCTTTCTTGCGGGCTGGACCATCTAGGGCGGTTTAAACCCTACGACCTCAGGGGATTGGCCAGCAATGCCTGCATCTTTTATTTCCCACTAGCAAGCTCCCCAAACGTCGTCCAGAAACTTTGGAAGCGGAGAAGCGTTGTCCCATGATCTCATGCCCAGAAAAGGTCCTAGGCGATGTTAAAGAAAACAAAAACAACTGAAACCAGAGACATACGGATGTTCCCGTTTCGGGATAGTTTTGGACCCTCCAAGCTACTTTCTTTTTGGCGTCCCTCTCAACCCGAAAAGGGTAGCCTCAAAACAAGACACACCCAGCCCACATGGGTCACGTTCGACAAATCCCAGATGGGATTATTTTTTGTGGGGTACCCTTGTTTCTGAATTTTAAAGTACCAACAGGACAACCATCGTTTTTGGACGGTCTCCTAAAAAATATAGGGTTGTCTCAAACAAAATGGGTAAACCAACCCCAAAAAGGATACCCTAAAGCATTATTTCCGGGACCTCCTTTCGCAGCACACGAGCCCAGCTGAACCCAAAAAGGTTGGATGCCGATTTGGCTGTGTCTTCTATTTGAGGGACCGCCCCGAAATGGTTTTCCTTTTGGTTTCCCTTCAACACCACCCAAACAAGGGCACCCTCAAAAAACGCTATGGTTGTCCTCCTTTGGTTGGTTTCAAAGGGAAACCAAAAGAAAACGCCTAGAAACCAACAGAACAAGCCATAAAAAACCACCAGAACCATCAGAAAACGCCACAAACCACCAGAAAGCAACAGAACCCCCGGCCATTTGCTATGGCTGCTATGGGCTCCGGGCCCAAAAAGATCTGCCGTCCTCTCTTCCAGGCCGAGGCGTTCAACTGCGACAAGGAGGCCGCGTGCCCAATGCCGCCCTGGCAGTGGAAAAATCCGAGACGCGCAAAGAAGCTCCCAGTGGAAAACGCAAGGGAACCCCCTGGCCCCAGAAGAAAACCGGATGGTGTTTCCCATGGGTTCGGGAAAAAAGAAAAACGCCTTGAGACACAACGCCGGTGACTCTATGTGACTATTTGGGTGTGCTGATTTTGGGGGAATCCAACATTTCCTCTAGAGGTCAAAATTCAACCACCAGGGGACCGCAGGTTTTTTGTCCATGTTGCCACTTACTGGGGTTCCATTTGTTTGTACCTATTTTTGACCCACAGCCACATCCTAGATAGCCAAGTTGCGATTGCTTTTTTCAGTCACTGTTGCTGGTTTTTGGGGTACAGTGGATGGAAAAAAGAGACAATTGGCGATCCAGGATCTGGCGGTTTTTTGTCGAGTTTAAAGGGGGGAAGCCGATCCCAAAGATTCTTCAAAGGAAAGAAGGGCGGCTTTGTAGCACTTCCTTGACCCAAAGGTCCTCTGGAAAATTGATTCTACCTGGACGCTGAAAGCAATATGACTGCCCTGTAGTGAGATCTTGGTCTGGAAGATCTAAGAAGTCTACGGTCTTTGCCAACCGAAATTGACATGCCAACCAAAGCAGTGGCTTAAAATTGGGTCGTAAGAAGTAAGAACTGAGAAGCGCGTCTGACATGCAAGGCTGGGGCAATGCATGGCATCAACGTCTCAAAATGGCGAAGCTTATGGATTTGACAGGTCCTACGTCAGAATTCAGGGGTCGTGCCGTCGTGACGCCTGCCCGCTTTTGGGGGGGTAACTTTGCAGATGCACGGAATGCCAGGGTCGGCTGCTCATACTGGACCCATTCTTCCAGCATGATCAACGTCACCCCGTAAGTGGTAGGCGAAAGCGAAACCACCTCAGCTTCTGACTTTGATACCGCCCAGAAACCGTCAAAATAATACGAAATAATGGGCCCAGTCACACTATGGAGCAAAGGGGGCCATGGAACTTGAGACGTATGCTTGAGGTTTGTGATGAATGCGAAGCATCCGATCGCTGCCAGGCTCCATCCCATTTATCCTCCAAATAAATCCTTAAAACCGTAAGTATCAGTTAGGGACTTTCTCCACAAAACAAAACATGGGGCAGGGGTTCGGATGTGATTCATAGGCGCAATCCGTCCAGATTTATATCATTCAGAAACCGGAAACAAGGAACCCCCTAAACCAGAACTGGAATCGCTCGCCTACACACCAAGTGGAATCGCCTGTCTCGCAATGGGCCAAACTTAGACCTTCCGCAAACTGCTAATTGACTTGCTGGCCACGGCCAACAGGAAAAAAAGGAGAAAAACAGGTCACGGCCAACAGGAAAAATCGAGGAAACAAACACAACATGCCAAACGTCATCCAAAAGACCAATCCCAAACAGCCCGCGAGAATGAACTCGCGCGTGAGAGGGCGCCTTCTGGCGCTGCTCGTCTTGCACGACCATGTGCATAAAGACCTTTCAGCACCCAAACCGCTTCTCCGGGAGTGGGTAATGAGTACTAGGATTTCCAACCATCGAGCTGTGCCTTAGAACATCTGAGTTGACACTCCTCAGATCCCTTGCTAAAAGTTTAACTTTTAGTGGGTTCAGTGGAAATTCCACTAAACACTAAAAGGCTAAGAAGCTAAGGGGACGGCTGCGAACCACGAAGTTGAATCTATCTTCACTTGCCATAGAACATTGCATTCTTGCAGGCCGAGCGTCGCTTAGGGGTCATACTTGTTTCCTAGTCGACGTGTCAAACAACAAATCCCAGGCCTTGTCTATTGCTAAAACATGTTGCGAACAAATGAAAGTCCAGACACTCTCCGACAGTAAGTTGAGGATGCCTTCTTTTTTTCAACCCCTAAAGCATGAACCAATACATGCCTCCCAGAAACAGTGGATTCCAGCCCTTCAGCTTGAGGATGTTTCTTTCTCACTTGTTTTACCTTTTTCCAGCTCTTTACACTTGGAATTGAAGCATCACATCATCACACCAAAACTTAATTTGAGTTTGGCCAAATGGTGATGCTTATCAAAATTCTACATGGATATATAGGGGAGCCCCGTCTTTCGGGTCTTGACTGAAACACATAGCTTGCAAGTGAATGTCCCTTGCAGTCACTGAGTCCGAATCAAACGTGAACTTGCCATCACTGTGTGGGAAAAGTGGAACTACATGTTTCGATTGTTGCCACCTTCGGATTGATCAGGAGGACCGAACTTGCAAGGAAAGCTTCCGACTTATGAGGAAATTGCCTCTGCTCTGATTTAGGCATGGGGTCTAGCCTTTGTGTTGGTTTTTCTGAAATGATCCGAAGCATACACTCTACGAGCAAAACTTCGTGGACCGCCCAGGGCATCCCATGCCGAGCCCCCGAGCCCCCGTGGCACAGTGGGGCAGGAAGACAAAATCCGCGGCCTCGCGAGGCGAAAATGCCAGCCGAACCCGGGAACTTGGAACGATGCGGTCGCACCACCGAATTGCCGAAGTCAACTCAGATTCTTCCGGGCGTGCCTCCCCAAAGGATCTTCTTGAACATTTGGATACCTATCAGGCAGCCAAAGGCTTTTGACACCAATCTTGGGCTCCAATGGCAAATAGAAACATGCTCCCTCCAAGCATGGAGTGGGAATTCACAAGCCCTCCAGGAAAAGGCAGCAACCAATCGCAAGTGCATCGCGGTGTTCTACAACAAGGTGCCGGCGGTGATAGTGACCCTGGGATTCCTTCCTGTTGCCAAAGCCAGGCGTTTTACCGTGTTAGCATTGTTGCTTTGCACATGCTCATGTTAACTTTCTATGGGAAAACCAATGGTCCCAGATCGATTTCATGGTTTCAACAGCACGGACAGCACGGCCGCGTTTGTTCTCCACGTTTTTGTCCGTTCGTCTTTCGGAGGTCAAAACCGGCGTTCTTGCGCCACATGTGTTAGAGCACATGCTGTATCATTGGCTACGGCGCAGAGGCTTTGCACAATCTGCCCATGGCCTTCCAGAGGGCAAAACTACGTATACTGTCGCGAGCGGTCAGGCAAGGCCATTTGAGCATTCTTGACATGCAAGCTTTTGGTGAGGTAGCTTGACTGTCAGAGAAGATTCGAAGTTCCTGAGACCAGGTGCTTTGCAGGCAGAGAAGCAAAAAGCACAGCACAGCCCCAGCATAATCCCGGGCTCTCATGCTGCCATGGTGCCGGGTAGTCGTGCAGGCCACCTGGATGGGTCCAGAACAACCGACAGCGCGAAGTCCACGAAGGAATCTGGCGCACTGCAATGTAACTGCAGCAAGCTGTCAAGGTACTCAACGTCCACTAGAAACCAAAGTGCGAGCGCGGAGTCAGCGGGGCAGAAGTGAGAAGAGCGACTAACGCGCAGAAGCAGCACGCAGCAGAGAGCAAGCGGCTAGCAGAAAGACGTAGCATGAGCAGGTAGACGTAGCATGAGCAAGAGTGCTGCGGGTGGGGCGTTGTCGAGCGCGACCGGAATTACTCTGCCCCCCTCCCCCCTCCCCTCCCAACCCCCCCCCCCCTCCAGTGAAAAGCGGAAAAAGACACTGGGATCATTGCTGACAACGGGAGCTACAACAAGGATTGAGGTTCAGACTCCTGCCTTGAGAGGGCCGACACCAAACAGCGAGAAGTGTGGACAAAAATAACCTGGGCCTCAACCTGTCTCATTGGTTGTGCCTTCTTCGAGGTATGTACCACGCGTGGAAACGGCAACAAAAAGCAACCGCGAAATGCCTCGGGCGAGCCGACTCGATCGTGGGTCGCACTCGCTTGCTTTCCCCGAACCTCGACATTCGAGACCAGGATGGAATCGCTGGACCTTGGATTGCAATGATTGCAGTCACTCCCATGTGAGCACCTTCCATCAAAACCCGAGTTCCGGTTCATTGGGTTCTCCTCGCAGGTTGCATCCACCAAGACCTCCAGAAAACACCAAATGCTCGCATTCAGAGTCCGCTTGGCTCGCCTTTTTTCCGGAAGTTTGGCATGCCAAGAGGAATGCCACATCTCGCAGGTTGGGCCATGCCTTCCAAGAAGAGATTTGAACACCTTGTGGCTTTCTAACCTTGTGGCACCATCGTAGCTGAAGCTTCATGGAGGGGTTGCGGCTGCCAACCAAGTGAAAAGTGCTCCGCGACTATGCGACTAAAACATACTAGCTGCCTATTTACCAAACAAGAAACTGGAAACCCGAGCAAAAACCAGCATCTCACTCAGGAAGTGAGTGGATTGGTATATCAAATTTCCAGAACATGGTGTGGTTGCCATGCAAATGGTCCCAATCACAGGCCAAACACGTTACAATGATCCCTGGTGTAGCCATTGTCCAACTTCATCTTCCCACATACCCCACACCTTCTTTTTGGGGCGTCCAGCGTTTTGTCCTAGTTTCTTGACAAATATCTTACGTCACGGTGTCTTTCCCGATCAAATGACTTGACCACAAAGACATGAGGCATTTGGGGTCTTTTGGGCAGTGTAGGGGTCCCAAAATGGCTTTCCAGGTTCCTGTCGGTGTCCCTTTTGCAACCAGCAAAGGGCCCGCATCCCATTTTGAGAAAACCCCCGTGTCGGAACAAGGGGCCTCCCAGGTTCTGTAATCCAGCCAGTCTCCGGCTTTGTTCGTGCACGTCCGTGGATTTGCCAAACAAGTCCGAACTTGTCATTTAACACTAAACATACTGTGGATAGACAAAATCCTGCACCACCTTTAAAAAAAACAAAATAAACTGGAATGATGATTCCCCTGCAAACCAGCAAGTGATGGTTGCCCACGGTTTCAAAGTGGTGCGAACGGATTTCGTCCATCCACAGATCCGCAAAAAGACAACAACACATCAGTACAACATTGCTTCGGTCAAACCAAAAAAGAGCCACCACGTGGTTGCAAACCTTAGCTGGGGACCCTCTGGACTTTTAGGTGGGATTCATGCGCACCAGCCACCTTTCAGGTGGCTTTCCCTTGAAAGGGTCGGTCTCCTGCAGGGCAAAACATGCGGTTTACTTGGCAGCGGGCCTTCATGCGACCCGACTTCATTTACACGTACAGGCACTCAAGCAAGCCACCGGTTCAAGAAGCAAACAGCAATCTGGCTGGCTGATAGTACTTAAAAACCAACATTTGTGATAAGACACTCATGTGGTGATAAGACACTCATGTGAAAACATGCATAACATTTTGTGCCTCACATTACTCGCCTTCGATCCGCTGCCCGGGAGCACTCGAATCGCCCTACCCGAAAGTGCACTCAGCCGGGCGCAGGGCGTCAGCATTCGATGAACCCAGTGTTCCATAGAATATCGGAAGCCTGCGAGGTTGCCTGACACCCTGGGTGTCTCCACGGATTGAACTGATAGCCGACCAACACGAGGCATGCTTTTCAGGCAGAAATCCCAACCAAACATTCAGCAAGGTGTTTTCCTCGATGCGTTTGCTGATCCCACGGTTCAGCTTATAGGCGTTCAAAATGATCCATCCAGTGCTGCCCGCAACTGCCAAAGGCAAAGGCAGCCATGGTCTGCTTGTGGAAATCAACATTTTTGCGATAATACCTCCATTTGCTGAAAATGGCCCTGAACAAATAGACATATTTCCAGTAGGAGGAAATGAAACATATCCGTAAACAAATGGAACGATATGGGTCATTGCCACGACTATGTTTGAACGGTGAAGGAAATTCCCTTAGTATCACAGAAAGCGGCGGGACGCGATCGGCGCAGAAACTTGGTCACAAACAGATCTTCTGCCCGGGGGGGTAAAAAACAAATCTAAGATTCTGAAGGCTATGAAATGGATGGTCGAAGCTGAGAGACCAAAGGACCGACTAGACCATGGAGGCTATGCAAGGGCCCCAAACCTGCCAAATCAGGATGAGAACTCGATGAGAAGCTGCGGCTTGCGGGTGGTCTCTGAAAAAACCGGGCGCTTTGTTGACAAAGCGGCTGCCCCAAAAATTGCGCCAACCGAAAAACTGACAAAACGGGATGCTCAAACTCAGCCAACTCCCGCCACCAGTGAACAAACTGCACAATTTTGTTGTGAAACCAATGTTCAGGCGGCGCGGGGGGCGGGGGGTGTCAATGCATTTTACTGCTTCCTCAGAGATCTCTTCAAAGTGCCCCCCGCTGGTCGTTGCCAAGAGGGGAAAGTGGACAACTAATGCGCTCAGCGTCCGAGCTGTTCACCACACGGCTACTTGGATTTGTTTCATTGGGTCTTTAAGACATCCCCAAGTTGCGTCAATTGTAAGAAGACCTTCCCACCTCCATCACCCCCCGAGGCCTACTGACTCCTCCATCATTTGGCAGGCTGGTTCCTGAGTGCAAGCGAAATCCAAGTTTGACCCTCTTTACAAGAGAGGATGCGACAAACGCTTTGGGGATGGAATTACAGGCCGCCTGCATGAGAAACCCTGACCGGGGTTGAACAGACTTCCAATGTGAACACTCCTGTTTGTTTCCCTGTCTTGCAATGAATACATCTACTCCGTCCAGTGGCCATGGGAAATGAGCAACTGGGAAATGAGCACTGAACCACCGATTTCGAACATAAGACCAAACAGAGAAAGCCATTAGGACCGAAACAAGCCAAACACTAGGACCGAAACGATGCCTTGCACCCCTGCATGAGATGCTCAAGCCTCAGAATATCCACGCCCCATATCGCCCCTGTTTGGGCCGTGATTGAGACAACTGGAAATCTGAGCGCAAAGCATTGATCGCCTTGTGGCTTTCACCAATGCCCGGCCCTGCTGAAACCCGCCGGGAAACTTGAAGGACAGGCCAAAACCCTATTGCGCGATGGGTGCTTGCCTCATTTCCAGTTTGTTCATTTCAAGTTTGATATTAGTCTGACACAAAGCACAAACTTGAAAAGGATTCCCTTGAAGAAACTGTAGATGGGGTCTCCTCAAATCGGGTCGACCCAAATCTTGTGCAGGGTTGCCATCATTTGCCCATCTTGATCAACATTATCTCCCTAAACTAAACAGCTCCGCAGACATGATCACTTTCAAGGCTCTCCCCTTGCTCACAAGGAGATCCCCCAAATCAGCTGGTGTAAATGAACTTCGATATGGCCAAAACCTGTTTGTCGGCACCCCGCGTCAGTGCCAAGAAACGTCTGCCCAATGGACAATAATGTCGCCTTTGGCAACCCTGCTTCGCAAACCGTTTTGCCCGAGGCCGGGTCAATGTCGCCCATGATAAAAATCCGTGGAAGCAGGCTCCTGACGAGACACGAACTCAAGGCTCACAGGCCTTCAAATCAATACGTCCATGTATACAGAAATATATATATATATATATGTGAACATAATATATATATATATGTTTAAAACAAAACCCGGTAATTAGTGGAACAAAACGCTAGTTGAATGTGGCAAGACTTTTGGAAGCCAGGCTCGAAAGGGGTTCAGGTTGGCCATGGGTTCAAATATGAACCGATAACAGTGGAGCCACCGAAGCCGCTGGGCGCGAGTTTCAAGCAAATATAAGAGCTACAGTGCTCCGTCTCTTCCCTGTTTTCTGTTTGTGTCTCTTCAGCCTCTTTCCCTCGCTCTTCCCTTTTCTCTTTTTCTTCACTCTTTCTCTCTGTTTTTTCTCTCTCCCGCTTTCTCTCGCTTCCTCTTTTTCTTACACTTGTGGTCTCGCTTTCTGTTTCTCTTGTTCCTCCTCTTTTGTCAATCAGTCAATCAACCCATTTGTCAAACAACCCATCTATCTACCAACCTATCTGCTCTATCTATCTGACGCATCTGTCTGCCCATCTGTCCGCCTGTCTGCCTCTCCGCCGTTTTTGCCTCTTTATGCGTTCATCTGCTTTACATCTACAAATTAACTACCCATCTGTCCATCTACCTGTCTATCTACGCATCTCTCGAATGATCTGTCAATCTGATTTCCATCAAATCCTCCAATCCAACCGCCAATCAATCTCTACACAAGGCCTTTCTAAAGCGCTGCGCCTGCAGAATTCTGCGCCTCACCTTACGAACGTGCTGCGCCTGCCACGCAAATCTATGTTGCACTTGCGTCCGCTGGGATGCATCGTGTGGATGTGTCTGGATAGGGGACATATAGGCTAGAAGGCAGTGGATTGCTAAGTGTTGTAAGCGTGTGACGTGCGCCTGTGGTTTGCCAGGACGTAGCTAAGTTGCTTCCGCAAGCTATAGCTACTTGGCCAAACAGAATGCAGAAGCAGGTGTGATGATCAAAATGAAAAATTGAGTTCTGCCAATTTCAAATGCAGCTTGGCGCCTGCTTGTTTTGAGCAAAACTTAGTCATGCTGCCAATTTCAACAATACTAAATAAAAACCAGTAACATTCTATCCACGGGGGCTTGACTGTGACAAGCTGCACGCGTGATTGCGGTAACATACTGTTCTGGTTCTGCATGTGCACCAAGCATATGTGATGTAGCCATGTGTGGCTTGACACATGGCGGCTTTGCCTCATATGCAGGCAAAGGGGTCCATTGCCACATCCCACTCCGACAGCTCCTGGATATTAGTGTGACCCTGCAAGGCCTTGCTGTCAATGCCCAATCACGGGCCGAGTCGCTTTCAAATTCTGCGCCAGCGTTGCGCTGTGTCAACACGAGCACCTGCTTGATCTGCTCGAACCCTTCTTCGAGCACAGGCAGACACGAAACGAGGCATCTGCAGGCGCCGAAAGCTACAACCTCGAGCTACAGAAGTTGTTTCTGGTTTGGCCCCTGCAGCACCCTATAGGAATCGACCATGTCTTCTGGGGTTCGGTTCCTTACGACCCGTGGATTTTGATCGCGCTTTGGCCCGAGTGCAACATGTAGGACCGAAAAATTACCGTGCCTCCAGCCCAAGGAGGTCTTGTCAAATCAAACGCATTACGAAAACGCAAGGGCATTGCCGGTAAAAGCCAAAGAATATCACTGAAGATGCCACAATGGATGGCCAAAACTCTTAGAGTAGAACGCAGGATGACCATAAGACAGGATGCATCTTTCATGGACATGCATGGTAGCCTCAGGTAGATTTGTGATTTGCGCAGGAATGGCTTTCTGCCTCCCGTGCTCAACATAAACACGCGCGTTCACATGTTGAGAAGTCATTAGTGCTCGTTTGTCTGCCGTATAGGGCCAGGGACGCAGCTGCGCTGTGAAAGTCCCTCGTCTGTGCCCTGCAAGAAACCTGCGCGCGTGAACGTCCGTCATCTTCCAGCGAGGTCTGCGGGTCAGCGCCGCAAAAAGCCCAGGAGAGGTGCACTTTGGTTTCGTTTCTGCCAATTCCTAGTCCCAGTTCCGCTTCGAGTACAGCTTGTGCTGGCAGTGAGGAAACCTGACGCATCTGCGCCAATGCGGGCGCAGGCATCTTTAACCAAAAGTGCAGCGGCGCAGCCTTCTTTTTCCCAGTTGCGCAAGACAATCGCATGACAAACAGAAAGCGCACCCGCTCAACTGACAAGACAATCTGATTCGGGGGGGGGGGGGAGAGAATGATTAGCGCCACTTTTCGTCAATCTTGAATCGTCCCGACAACAGACTCATTTCAAATTTGACCCATGCTGCGTCCCATTTAAATGTTCAACTTAGTAAGTCATTCGCTGAGTCCTGGTAACTCTTAGGTAATTCACCAAGGTATTAAATGGTCAAGTAAGCATTATTAGTTATTGAAATACAATGCTGTATTTCATGGTAGCTCCTGGACTCATAACCACAACAATATAGTTGTTGAGATTTCCAACTTCGCTTCACAATGCCCAACTTGCAAACCCATACGCTGGCACTTACAAGTCCTATATCCTGACACACGCCAGGCGTCGACTGTGGCGCACATGTGGGAGAGCCGAACTCAAGCCCAGGGCCACGTTTTCGGCCCGCGTCCATCCCCACATCTCGTAATTCACAGCTTTTCCCTAGGTCATTTAGCTCCAGTGCTGGGAAAACTTCCTTTAACACCAAGACAAGTGCAATCCAGCATCCTAAGACACATGTGTCTTTCCACTTAGCTGGGATTGCGTTCTACAACCTGAAGCCAGCGGGGGAAGGGCTTTCAGGCAAGCCACAGCAGTAAATATTCAAGGAACGGCCGTGTGCAAACTCGAGCGAAGATGCCTAGATAATTCTGGGAAACTTCGCAGTGTGATCACCTTTTTCACATTAGCTGTCAAATCTCTAAGCATTTTCAGAGGCACGGTCCAAAGGTGATTTGGGGGCTGAATGATTACACACATAATTCCTCTATGTTGGCTTAAGTACGCCGCAACTCATTCTATCCGTATATGGGCCTTGTTTCGTGCCCAGCTCTCCTGTCTGCTGTCCACTCTAAAAGTTGAAGTCGCATCTTCTCCGTGAAGACATTGACCCTGCGCTTCGCTCGCGAGGTTTGCGTATAGCATCAGAAGTCCCAGTGCTGGATGTCAATGGGGAAAGAAAGCCCCCAGCTTTGCTGGCTGAACTTGAAGGCACAACCCTTTGTGACAAAGGAACAAAGGGAACAAAAATGACATTATGAAGCTGAGCGGGTTTTGTCTACCCCCGAAATGAGAGCTTGTGCTTTGTGTCCCCGCAGGCGCAAAGTCAAGAACACACGAACGGACGTGAAGCACCTTTTGGAACACGTGGCTGCGCATTTCACTGCCACCATTGAAGATAAACACGAGGCATGCGCCGGCCGCACACAGGCGCGCGCACTCGCACACGCACGCACACACATGCACGCACACACACGCACACCAACCAAAACACAAACACAAACACAAACGCACTCACACACACACACAGAGGCACACACAGGCACTTGTTCAGACGCACACGGAGCAGCTGAACGTTGGAGGGGTGCTTGTTCGGTGTCGTGCTGTGTAAACGGGAAATCGGTACAAAACGGCGGGCACGTTCCGAAGCGTCCTTCGGAATATCACTGCGACGCAGCGGCGGTCTTCGTTCGCATGGGCGACCACTGCTTGCTCCCATGACCCCTGCTCGAAATCAGGTTGTGAACCCATCTTCCATGAACTAGAAAGCTTCACACACACACAAACACACACACAGACACACACACACAAACACAGAACACACACACAAAAGACACACACACAAAAGACACACACACACAAACACAAACACAAACACAAACACACGCGCACACACACACACACAAACACACAAGCAACACACACAAACACACAAGCAACACACACAAACACAGACAAACACACACACAAACACAAACACAAACACATACACAGAGACACAGGCAAACACACACACAAACACAAACAGCTCACACACACAAAACACACACACAAACACAGAACACACACACACAAGACACACACACACACAAACACAAACACAAACACAAACACAAACACACGCACACACACACACACAGACACGCACACACAGACAAACACGCAGACAAACACACAGACAGACACACAGACAGACGCACAGACACACACAGACAGACACACACACACACAAACACACACTCACACACACACATTACACACACGCACAGACACACGCACAGACACACGCACACACGCACAACCACTCACGCACAAACACGCACGCACATAGAAACCCAAACGCACACACAAACAAATACAAACACAAACTCACGCAAACACACAGAGCCACACACAAATATGCGCGCACACACACACACACACATTCACTTGCGTGCCTAGTACGGCCGTACGTGAGGTTGAATTTTGCACGATCCAGCTTTGCCTGCAAAAAGGGGAGATGGTTTCGCAACCGTCTGCGGCAAATTCGTCTTACAGAACAAGCAAGAGCTGGCACATGAAACAAGCGCAAGTTGAAGCCAAGGACCTTGGGTCAGAGCCTTCCAAGTCAGCCCCGCCCTCTCAAAAACATGCCGGCTCCCGCTCTCTGTCAAAAGAGGTCAGCTGCTGTCGATTCCTCGACAGCTCCTGCGCACAGAGTTGCTCTCAGCCAATCCAAAGCCATGATCAAAGCACAGGCGCGGCAACATTGAGGTGGATGTTTGCGCGCCTTTCCTAGATCGATTGTGAACCCTTGGACCCTTGTGACGAACAGGTTTTGGGAGCCCTGTCAAAAAACGAGCTGATGTTCAAGCGGGAAAGCGATTCATCCCGCGTTCTGGAGTATAGTGACGTTTCTCTATTTTGAACATTTACTCGGAACGTTTTCAACGGGGGGGCATGTTACAGGCGCAGAATTACGCCGAACCGAGTCCCCGGAAAGTGCATTTGTTTAGTGATGGCTGACCATACGGCGCGGGGCAATGGTTTTGCAGCATTTGAGAAGGTCGTGCCAGGGACTCCAGTGAACGAAATCGGTGTAAACGGCGAAGTTACTGCCCCGACTCCCCATTGCGCGCACGTCAGGGAAAACATGTGGGCAACATTTGCTTCTACAAGCAGCCCCTGGCGCCTTTCAAGGGCAAGCAAACCTGCTTTGTTTGTCTGGTTGTCGCCTTGTTCCAGTACTTCTCCCACCTGAAAGCTGGCAGAAGGTCTCTGCACGAGGAGTTCAGGGTCTCTTTTCTCATTTTGAGTTCGGGTGCGCTCAAATTTGGCTGCGGCTTGGCACGACCGAACCGGTTCGAGGCCTCGAACCGGGCAGAAGGTGTTTGGGGGTCAAAAAGGCAAAGCGGCCGACGAAGGCCAAGCTCACCCTCTGATGCCAAAATGGGGAAAAAATCCGGTTTCTTTGGGTCTTTGTCTTTAACATCTGTTGGCGGAATCTCACATGGGCTTCCTGTGCGCGCACTGTGAGGCAGGTCGCAAGTTACTTTAAGTATTCAATGGTTATACATGTCTGCAATCGCTAGCTTTCTTAGTCCAGGCAAGCAGCTCTGGTGTTCCCAAACGTGAACCAAATTCATGTTTGTTGGCAGGAGAGTTGTAGAAAGATCTCACGGAACGACTCCCCGACACGCCTCGAAGTATTCCACAGCTTCATTATCGGCAGCCTGGCAGCACGATGCTTTCCGCTGGTGTTTCGCCGAGTGGGGCCAAGACGTGTTCTTGACCTCGGAAAAGACGAGAAAATACATGCCTATCCCACTAAGTTCTAAGCCATATCACGTGTTAAAGGCGTGACTGTGTATGATTATAATGGATTCCATACAACCTGTACACATATTTGTTCTAGGCAACATCAAATGTAGAACACCAGCAGTTGTAAGGAATCTATTCATTACAGCGTGTTTGTATGTATGTATGTATGTATATAGATATATGGGTGTGGGTCAATATTCTGGTGTGGAACGTTCCGCGGTGACGCGGACGTCTGGAACGAGTCAGTTACGTAAGGTTGGTTGTTCCGGACCTCTGGGAAGACATGTGTAGAGTCCTCAAACACAGTTCATTTGGTGTAAGATGGATGGATGGATGGATGAATTGATGGATGGGTAGATGGATGGATGAAGCGACCAGGGGCGCGCGGCCTTACCATACGGCACCTCCTTGAAGGCTTTTTGGGCCGCGTAAGAAGTGCAGCTACTTACATGGGGCATGTGTGCGCATGTGGGCTTGGTGGCAAATTGCTCCGCTGCGTCTGGAACACGTCTGGAACGGGTCTGGAACGGGGTCCGGAACGGTTACGCGAGTGGCTTGCACTTGGGAATGCTAGCAAGCAACGGGTTTCCGTAAAACACTGAGAAAAAGAAGCGGCGATCCCTCCGCTTCCGCGCCGCTTCCGCGGCGCAAAGCGTACCTTCTGCAGCATCCATAGCTGCGAATGCTCTTCATCTGGTCTGGTCAGCTGTTGAAATTGCGATTGGTTATTCAGCAGATCCAGACCAAGGCATCTCCGTAGAAGATCTCGAGAACATTCCGGGAAAGGCTCTTGGTTCCAGTTTGCGGGCTACGCCAGCGATATGGGCATCGTTGGGGCATCGTTCGGGGCATCGTTCAAACCAAACCGTTTTCTTGTCCAGGCATGGTCAGTTTGATTTGTACGGCAGGCCATCAAACAAGAAGAAATACGGCCGCGCCGTGTTTGGTTGACTTCCCTTTGCTGAAGCCCCTCAAAAACACAGTAGTTTTCGACTTCCTTGTCCACCTTCTTCGAGTGAATTATAAAGGCATGAGGAATGACAAATGCAGGGGAAATGAAGGGGAATGAAGGGGAAACGAAGGGGAAACGAAGGGAAATCACCTTTGCACATATGCACATACGCACACACGACGCTGGCACACACGCGCACATTGCCAGGGTATCGTTTGAGGGGCGTCCGGGGTGTCGCTCCTGCCACCAAAACTCGCAATCTGCGATGTTTCAGACACTGGTGTGTTTATGTCAAGGAAGGGTGGAAGGGGGAAAGAGAAAGAATGGAGGAAGAGAGCAGAGGAAGAGAAACTGGGAGGAAGAGAAAGCAGGAGGAGAAAGGACGAAGGGAAGAAGGATGGGGAGGAAGGGATAAAGGAATCCAGGGAATAAGGGAGCAAGGAAGGATGGGGCAAGGGAAAAAGGAGGGTGGAAGGGAAGGGAGGAAGAGGAAGGGAGGAAGAGGAAGGGAGGCAGGGCAGAAGAGGAAGGGAGGCAGGGCAGAAGAAGAAGAAGGAAGGGAGCAAGGGAAGGCAGGAAGGTAGCAAGGCAGTAAGGCAGGAAGGCAGGAAGGGTGTAGATGCTGCGCCTCCCCACAAGCTCCATGACATGCTTTTTGACGCTGGTTCCAGACCGCCCACAAGCATGGGAGGTGGAGCAGGGCCCACACGCTGACCACCACTGATTGATGGGTAAGCGGTGGCCCGCCTTTTGTGCTTTCCAGGTGTCGTTGAGGTATCGTTCAGAGTATCGTTCAGACAGCCCTCCCAAACCAGAAAAATTTGCCCATATTCTCTCAGTCCAGGGCATGTGCCAAAACCAGCTACACGGTGCGTGCCAGCCCGGACTGCTGTCCGGTGACTTGGTAACTGCAAGCGAGACTTATAAACAACTTGAAGCACAGCAGCACCATGCAGCACCTTTTACTTGGGCTACGGCTCCACCTCTGAGTCCACAAGCTCTTTTCGAGCACGAGCCGCCGCCCGCTTGCGTTTGCAACGAATGGGCCACCCCCCGCGCCATGCGAACGCTGCAATTCCAGGGGTGTGGTTTTGGTGTCGTTTTGGGTATCGTTTTGAGCAAGCAGTACTTCGGTGGCCAAAAATGCAGTTCACACTCCCCGATGATCCGAAAAGGTGTTTTCGACGCTCTAAAATTACTTTTGGGTATGGTTTGGCATGCCGACTGTGGCGCCTGCGGGCGCAAGCAAGAAGCATGAGCAGTAGGAAGGAGAGCAATCGGTGGCCCAGAATGCAGTTCACACTCTGCGAGTGATCCGAAAAGGTGTTTTCGACGCTCCAAAATTACTTTTGGGTATGGTTTGGCATGCCGACTGTGGCGCCTGCGGGTGCAAGCAAGAAGCATGAGCAGTAGGAAGGAGAGCAATCGGTGGCCCAGAATGCAGTTCACACTCCCCGAGTGATCCGAAAAGGTGTTTTCGACGCTCCAAAATTACTTTTGGGTATGGTTTGGCATGCCGACTGTGGCGCCTGCGGGTGCAAGCAAGAAGCATGAGCAGTAGGAAGGAGAGCAATCGGTGGCCCAGAATGCAGTTCACACTCCCCGTGGCGCCTGCGGGTGCAAGCAAGAAGCATGAGCAGTAGGAAGGAGAGCAATCGGTGGCCCAGAATGCAGTTCACACTCTGCGAGTGATCCGAAAAGGTGTTTTCGACGCTCCAAAATTACTTTTGGGTATGGTTTGGCATGCCGACTGTGGCGCCTGCGGGTGCAAGCAAGAAGCATGAGCAGTAGGAAGGAGAGCAGTTCACACTCCCGAGTGATCCGAAAAGGTGTTTTCGATGCTCCAAAATAACTTTTGGGTATGGTTTGGCATGCCGACTGTGGCGCCTGCGGGTGCAAGCAAGAAGCATGAGCAGTAGGAAGGAGAGCAATTGGTGGCCCAGAATGCAGTTCACACCCCGCGAATGACCCGAAAAGGTGTTTTCGACACTCCAAAATTACTTTTGGGTATGGCTTGGCATGCCGACTGTGGTGCCTGCGGGTGCAAGCAAGAAGCATGAGCAGTAGGAAGGAGAGCAATCGGTGGCCCAGAATGCAGTTCACACTCTGCGAGTGATCCGAAAAGGTGTTTTCGACGCTCCAAAATTACTTTTGGGTATGGTTTGGCACGCCGACTGTGGGCGCCTGCGGGTGCAAGCAAGAAGCATGAGCAGTAGGAAGGAGAGCAATCGGTCGCCCAGAATGCAGTTCCCACTCCCTGACTGATCCGAAAAGGTGTTTTCGACACTCCAAAATTACTTTTGGGTATGGTTTGGCATGCCGACTGTGGCGCCTGCGGGTGCAAGCAAGAAGCATGAGCAGTAGGAAGGAGAGCAATCGGTGGCCCAGAATGCAGTCCACACCCCGCGAATAATCCGAAAAGGTGTTTTCGACGCTCCAAAATTACTTTTGGGTATGGTTTGGCCCTTCCAGCAACCTCCAAATAGCCAGCCGGGGAACGCAGTTTTGAGTAACAAGCCGGGGAGTGTAGCTTTGGTCAAAAGCACCCAATAGGCGCATTGAGTGTACAGTGGCTTGTGGGTATGGTTTGGCTGGCTTGTGGGTATGGTTTGGCCCTTCCGGCAACCACAGAAACAAGGCGTGCAGCAATTTCTGCGGCAGCACTCTTGGAGCTCGGGCTCTTCTCCAAAGCCTTCCGGATCACAGATCTGCTCGGGCAAGTCAGGCCTTCCCATCCTCCTGCAGCAGCAGATCTCTGAGGAGCAAGCGCAAGCCCGCCAAGGCGTCCGCGGCCTGGCCCGTTGCGGGCCCTTTGTGTGCGCGGAAGGATGTGCGCTGAAGGAGCTGCGCGTGTGGTTGAAAAAGCAAACGCACTAGGTAGGCCTCACATTGGCTGCTCCGGGACGTTCTCGGAGTATCGATGGGGTGTCGTTTTGGGTATCGTTCTGGGCGCGTGTAGTGTCACGAAAAAACAAACTTGCTATAAGCTAGAGCCAAGCAAGCGCACAAGAGCCTTCTCTACCTTGCGGTAGTCATGTGATCAGCGGACTAAACTATGCTTCTCTGGCTCCCAAGCATTGGCGGCTTTGCTTGCTGGCTGCAACTTCCAGGTCGCAAGTCGCAACTTTCAGTACCAGCTACGCAAGTTACACTCCAGCTCGAAGGTCGCAGCGTGCGCGGGTGCCTGCGTGTGCGCGGGTGCGTTAGCGATCCATCTGGGTGGGCCCATCTCGTGCACACATGTGCCCACCATGCATTGCCGAGGAGCATTGACAGGAGCTGTCATGGCAACTTACAGCTTGGGGCAAAACAAGGCTCACACAGTGCAAAATAGAAGCGCGAAGCACCAGTTGCACGTCATGCGACGTTATCGTTTTTGGGGCTTCGCTATATCGTTCCTCAGGAAAAATACAAAACAATCAACGCGAAATCGCCGAAGACATATTTTATGACGAGAGAGTTTAGCCTTTTGCTCTGACAATCTGTATCAATACTCTAAACTGGACATGAACTAGGCAAGGTCTGGAACGGAGGTCTGGAACGGAGGTCTGGAACATGTTTCTAGGCAAGGTCTGGAACGGAGGTCTGGAACGGAGGTCTGGATCGCATGTGGGTTCCGGACCCTGTTCCGGACCTTATAAATTGACTCGCAGCCATATATATATATACATGTATACATGTTGTTGTTTTTTTTCACAGCTGAATCTAATTAGGTGTCTCTACAGTAAATCTATTTCACACACAACTATACGTGTATATATATATATATATGTATGTGTGTGATGCGCAGGGCTGATTCGGCGACAACTTCTCGGGTCAAGTCGGATGCTATGAGACTTCCGGGCCCCGGTTGCATCAGGTGGCACTCCTTTCTTGGTGAAAGGGAAACCCTCCTCCCAACAAGAGCCATCAGCACTGCCAGCCTGGGTAGTGTTGGGACCGATGTATAACCCCCCTCCCCAATTCCAGACTGTCCTTTGCAGAGACCGCAGCCCATACTTCTTGATGGCTTTTTCTTGGATTGTTCACGGTACACTTAAAAGAACATCTAACAACAAGGGGGAAAAAAAAAAAGCCAAACCAGTGATGAAGATCTAGTCAGTGATACCCAACCCAGTCAGCCCAAGTGAGCCAAGACTGGATCCGAGTGCACACCAGGCGCCTCAGTGGGAGTCTGCGTCACCTCATCCAAGTCCGACTGGCCCAGCCTCAGAGGTCCGGGAGGGATGGCCTCTCCCGTCCGCATTTTTTGCCATCCAGTCATAGGGCCCCCCGTACGCTTTTTGGCCTACGTTGAATACACATACTAAGACAACCAATGTTCAACCTTCAAAACAACAAAGCACATATTCTCATGCCCATCTTCATCCCCATCTCAACTTCATCCCTACGCTCATTCAAGAACATTCAGAACTACATACCATCTCACATCTCCCCAACAAATCCCACCCCGAAAACCCAAGCTACATACCAACAATTTTTCACTCCCAAGATCACAACCCCGCAATCTCAAGAATTTCTCTTGTGAGCCAACTTGACAACCTTACCCATTTCTTAAGGGGTGATTCATCACACCAAAGCCGGGGGGGGTAGCAGACCTCATAAACGACATCTGGGCCAAGGTGCTTATGCTGGAGGTCGAGACATCGCAGGAAGTCCTGCGGCAATACAGACTCTAAGTGCAACCGCCGTTTTGAGACACACCCAATTGATTATAGTCTCAAAGTAGGGAAACCCCCAAACAAATATGTGGTTCCCAACCCGACAAGGGCTAGCCTCAAACAAAACACAATGTGTTTGCACTTACCGGAACCCAAGAATCACAACTCCATGATTGATTACGTGGTGTCTCCAAGTTTGGAGTGGATGCAGATCATATAGGGAGTTGCACCACAATACTCGGAGCCCAAATTTGACCCCACGTTTGTGGCCTGGTCAGGGGTCAAGTGACTCCCAGGAATTAACTGTTTGACCCAAGCTGCGCTTTGCACGTACAAGCTTGGACGCCAAGGGTTGTCCCCCTCAAACATGACCTTAGAAGCTTGGCACGCCCACCTTTGGGCCCGACAACTTGAGGATGGGTTCAGTCAACAGGAAACTCGCGAATCAAGCTTCTGGCTCAGCTTGGCCCAGGTGTCAACATCGCCATCTTGGCGAAATCTATCCTCAGGTCAAGTACTTTCATGCCGCCCTTTTCGGTGACTTCTCATCATTTGCTCTGAGATCTCCAAGGATTGTCCCACACTTGTGTGTGTGTTTTCTGGTTGCTGACTGTTCAAAGCAACAGGTGAAATTGCTGGGCCACTTGGTGAACTACCAGAAAATGGCCTGACAAAAATTGGCAAATTGCTGGGCAGGCAAAAAAAAAGAGCGCCGTACACATCGTCCTGCGTGGAGTTGGTGGCTGGTGGGCACGCTGCTTCCAGGACCGGCACCAGCCACACCTCACGGCCAGTGGGCGAAGCGGTGTAGCCTCCGGCGCATGTCGGCCAGTTTCACACAAGTGACCAGCATGAAAACCTGCAACATGATGTGTGTTTTAAGTATTTACCGGGCTCCGTTGGGGTTCCATGTAACATGAACCAATTTCATATTGGGCTCCCTGGCTGGTTTCCAATAAATCAAGCCATAACAAACCTGGCGGGGTAAGTCCACCAGGTCGGAAACCTGTCACGGAATCCTAGGACCAGCCGCAAGCTCCTTCCCCCCCCACCCCCCCCCACCCCCCGTTTTCCGCACCCAGCCCAACCCTGAGGTTGAATTGAAAAACAACAAAACGTTTTTTCTGGTGTTGGTATCGAGTCCTGTGCCAAACAAAAACCAGCGGTTTCGAATTGGTTTCTCTGGCTCTCCAAAAAACATGTCCAAGAGCTGAACCCTCTCCTGTGGTCTCCCCCCCACACCAGGGGGACCCTGTTTAGGGAAGATGTGCATAGCCCGAACCGAGCGGATCCCAGTTTCCACTGTAGGTCAACAATGGTTGCTTTTGGGCAAGAGATGAGTCTGTTTGGCCTGCAGGTAAATGGAACTGGGAATTGTCCCGTGTTGTAAAGGGGTCTGTTTGTGTCTGGAGTTTGCCTGGGTTTGAAAGGAACCTTTTTTGTTTGGACTGCAACCGGGAAATGGAACTGGGAGTTGTCGCCTGGTTTTAAAGGGATCTTGTTTGTTTCTGGAACTTTCATGGGCTTGAAAGGGACTTGTTTTGTTTGGCCTGCACCAGGTACATAAAAGTTGAAAAAAAATGCTAGTCCAGCTTAGAACAAGGGTACCCTTTTGGCACATGGCGCACGCACGATCGCATGCGCTGGTGAGCAGGGCATGCCGCCCTACCACCACGCAATGTGGCCCGAAAGCCGTGTAAAGGGGGCAGGAGCCCCAGGGAGAGCGAGGCTCGATCCCCAACTGTACTGCCACAAAGCAGCCCTGGGCCCCCACAACCCGAAGGCCGTGGTGACCCAGGGACCAAAAGAGCCTCGCAGAGGCCAAGGCATCAGCAACCAGGAGAGTTGCAAGTCCTCCACCACGAGCTGCACCACGAACGACAATGCATATTCATAAAAGTCTGACCAGCGCCAGGAAGTACACCATCCACAAGTCACCATAGGCCAGCACGGAGTCGCACCCCAGGGGCCACCAACCAGGTGCGCAAGGCCCAATCAGGCCAAGGCGCCCAGCGAGAACGCCCAATCTTTAGGCATTCGCCCACGGCCAGAGGCTCTGGCGAGGGCCCTGTCCAAAAAGGCTACCTCCTCCTCACTGCAAACTAACCTGACATCGGGGAAAGCCCCCCTAGGCCAGGTGGGACCAGCATAGGTACCAAGACGCGGCTGCCAGTTCGGCGGAAAGGCACGAGGTGCACGTCGAGTGATGCACCTGCGGATCGCCTTGAAGTGGTCGAGGAGGTCCCGCCCGGTGGCAGCATGTCCTACCCGCAAAGGCAGGAGATGTGGCCTCCGGCGCCACGCGACAAACGCGACTGCAAGCCCCGGCTGCAATTGTGTTGGAGCTGCCTCCCACTCAGCCTCGACGAGGAACCTGTACCACTCATCCCATGACGCTGCCCCATCCTTCCAGTCCAGAGGCTTGGAAAGAGGGGGCCAGGTCGGAACCAGCACACGAGGGCCATGGCGCGGGGGGACATGGGCAGGGGGGTGCACCAGGGCAGGGGGGGGCAGAGCGTCCACAGGGGCCGGAGCGGCGGTAGGGACACGGGTGCGCGGCAAGGCAACAAACAGGCGCTGCAACCAAAGGTGCCGGCGATAGGCAGCAACGAACAAGGCATAGAGCCGAGAAGAGGGCACCCGCAACGCAGTACGAGCAGCCTGCTTAGCCGCAAGGTCAGCAGCATGATTGCAGGCAGCGTGCAACGCCTCGGTAGGGGACTGCGCAGACCCCAGGGGAACATGCCCACGAATCCAGTGCAGCTCGAGGGAGACCCCAAGCTGGGGGCGAGCCTCACAGAGGGCCCACAAGACCTGCCACAGGTCAGCAGCAGCAACATGGGCCGGGACAGCCCCGACCTGCCGGAAGGTCCTCCAAGCGCTGACCGCAGCCTGGGAGTCCGTATGGACAGTGAGGCCACCCCGGGTGAGTTGGGCAGCCCGCAGGATGGCGTAGACCTCAGCCCGGTAATTGTCCGCAAAGACACCGGGGACCGAGCCACAGGCAATAGTGGCCCTAGTGGCAGAGACCACTGCGAAGCCAGCAGCAGCGAAGAAGGGGTGCTGCGGCAAAAAGACGCTGCCATCAGTCCACAGATGGACGTGTGTGTCCTGCGAGTAGTGGGGCCACGGGCTAGTTGTAGGCCAGGGCACCTGTGCGCAGCAAGCGGAAACCAAGTCAGGCGGTATCTCCGGCAAAGCATGACTAAAGAAGGAGGGGCCCTGAACCTCACGTTGGAGTGGGGGAGGCCCAACATCACGGGGGAGGGCCTGACAGAGAACAAGGTGGGCAATAGTTTCAACCTGACCACCACAGTAGCGACACAGGGGCGAGGACGCCATGCCAGCAGAGTACAAGCGATCGGCAGTGACAGCAGAGCCGACAACAACAGCAGGAGCGACCGGGCGGTTGCACGGGAAGGCCCTCGCAAAGGCAGTCCACTTGGGAGCCGAAGGCACCGACCAAGGAGAACGAGCCAGCGCCACATCCAACAAGCCAGTGGGACCAGGCACAATGTCGGTCCTCTTGGCACGACAGGCAACCTGATAGGCATGTTGGGCGATGGCCCACTGGAGGAGCTTCCGAAGGGAGCGGGTGGACACCGTGAAGAGAGATATCCAGGGCCCCACATGGAAAGCGACAGAGGCCGGCGCACTGAAGCGCAGACCACAGGCAGTGATCGCCGCAATGAAGTTGGCTACCAGCGTGGAGGGCATGATGCGGGGGTTAGTGAAGGCAATCCTCCACTTGAGAGCGAAGGTCTCAGAACGCTGCAGGTGAGCCACCACATTAAGGATAGCCCGGTAGGGCAAGGCATAACCAGGGTGCACAAGGTGACCGCGGTACACAACCGCCAGCAACAACTCACGAGATCGCCAAGCCGGCCGCCCCTCCCACAAAGCAGAGGCGACCTCAGACGCCAGCGAGGAAAGCTGCCGCTTAGGGATAGTGTTGAGCTCCGCCGAGTAGGTGAGCATGGGCATGGCCTTTCTGGCCACGAAATTGGCCTTCGCGGCGGGGCCAAGGGGCAATGCCCCGATAGCCCGCACAGCACGCCGGAACCGGGAGATGGCCTCGGCGCGAGCGTTGCGCGTGCCACGCAAATCTAGATTAATGCAAACCCCCAGCGGCCGCAGGGAGCGCAAGCGAGGGGCCTGGGGAAAGGCCTCCTGAAGCGCAGGAGCGTAAGCCTCCTGGGTAGACCACCACCCAGATTTGTGGAGGTTGAATTGCTGGCCGGCGAGACCATCGAACAGGGAGGTGGCTTGCACAGCCAAGACAAGAGAGTCAATGGCCTCAGGGGTCACCACATTGAGGTACCCATCGTCGACATAGACCCGTGGCGAAACACCAGGGAAGTGCTTCATGAGTAAAATCCACGCCGACATCAACACGTTGGCCGCCAAGACAGAAAGAGAACAGCCCTGGGCGATTCCATTGGAGTTGCCGAGAGGCTCCTCATGGACGGCACCTCTCCAAGAAAGGAAGCGGCGGAAGCCCCTGTAGTTTCCTCTCCAGGCTTCAGCGACACCCGGAGGAAAACCCAGCGCCGTCAGCAGAGCGACGATTTGCGCAGGGAGAAGGCGATCGAAACACTTTGAGCGGTCGATTTGCACGCCCGCAAACACATCATTCGTCGCCTTCGCTTCATGGAGGTCGAGGGCGAGCTCGTGAGTGACATCGTCAACGCGGCGCCCGGAGACACCGCCCACAACCTCCTGGGGGAGCACAGTCCGCTGCCAAGCGGTAGAAGCCCGGAAGCGGGCAGAAGACCAAGCCAGGTAGGCAATGGGAAGGACCGCAATGAGGCGTTTGGCCAAGGGAGCAGGCCCCGCTCCCTTGTCCAGCACCGCGAGGCGGGCAGTGCCAAAGATGCGCGGCAGGCGCCACTCGCCAGCTTCAACACGGTTGAAGAGATGAGCCAAGACACGAAAGACCGCGACAGGCAAGGCGCGCAACTCGACCGCAGCCCAACCATCCAAACCGGAAGAGGAGTCAGGACTACGGCGGGCAACAGAAGCGGCTAGATCCTCCGGAGTGACAGCGAGGAGCACAAGAGGGACGGCACGCTGCTCCAACAGGTGCTGAATGGGACGCATGAGAGGCTCAACAGGAATGCCCTCACGGTGGACATTGAAAACCTCATTCCAGGCTGCGGCGGCGTGAGAGAGGGCCTGCGCAGGGTGAAAGGCCGGGACACCTTCCGGGCCAGCCAAGTGGTTGGAGCCGGAGGGGGTAGTGGCACGCTGGAGGTGCTGAAAGACCTCCTTGCCCGTGTGCAGCGCAGAATGACGGAGCCTCTCCTTCCACCGCTTGAAAGAAGCCTGACGGCGGGCCTGGGTAGCAACCCGGAGGGCCTCAGCCACACGCTCGCAGAGCCCAGCAGTACCCTGGGGGGTGAGGTCCTCCTCAGTGTACGGGAACCTGAGCTGCCTAGCGAGGCAACGAAACCTCCGCAAGGTGTGAAGGGTGACCGAAGCATCCGGCTGTGCAGACATGGGGAGCCGGACAAGCCGAAAGAAAAGCTCACGAGCGAGAGAGAGCAACCTGGCGTAGAGCACAACGGGGTGGGAAGTGGGCAAGGGTCTCACCAAGGGCCGCTTGGGCCGGATGGGGGGCAAAGAGCCCCGGGACCGGACGCCCCTGCCCCACCGAGCCCCACAACCCAAGAGGGTGGAGAGGGCGAACTCAGAGAAGAGTGACCAAGCTTCTTCGGCCGAGTGAACCGAAGCAAGGGCAGCCTGGTAGCGGTCAGTCCACAGGCCTTCAGCATGATCAGCAC